CGAAGAGTTCCGACGGCAGGAAACACCAACTTTCGCTCTTTCCTCGCCTTCGCAGTAGACTGATTTTTTGCACCGATTTGGCGAGCTACATAAAGTTACTTTCAATGTACTGAGAAAAACTTGCAGCTGTAAGCAAAAGGAAAATCGCTGTTCATCGTAGTAAACCACAGTACTGAGGGACAAATAAAAATNGTAGACTGATTTTTTGCACCGATTTGGCGAGCTACATAAAGTTACTTTCACTGTACTGAGAAAAACTTGCAGCTGTAAGAAAAAGGAAAATCGCTGTTCATCGTAGTAAACCACAGTACTGAGGGACAAATAAAAAGATCATGTAACTCGTCAAATCGGTGCAAAAAATCACTCTACTTCACAGCTCTCAGGTAGAAAAGTTGTGGCTTCCAGTTGCAGGCAAAATTTCTACTGTTGGTCATGCGCACTGAGAAACAAGACAGGAGAGAGAGAAAGCTCGTCAATCGTTTCAAAAGTGTCTCCATTCACCCACTTTACCCACCATCTCCCGGATCGATCAAACACGTACGCGCTTTACCGCACTGCCGTAGAGCAATGCACACTGGTAGAGAGTAAGATCCTCTGTTCACTGCTGAGGAATCACCGACTAGAGAAATTAGCGTACCCCACCATCGTCGATGACTCCTCTGGCAGCTGTGTTTGCTCGGCAGCTCGGAGAGNCGTACGCGCTTTACCGCACTGCCGTAGAGCAATGCACACTGGTAGAGAGTAAGATCCTCTGTTCACTGCTGAGGAATCACCGACTAGAGAAATTAGCGTACCCCACCATCGTCGATGACTCCTTTGGCAGCTGTGTTTGCTCGGCAGCTCGGAGAGGTAGAAAAGTGAACAGTAATGAGTAAGGAGACCCTNCGCAAAAAAGCTCACTGTTGACAATGGTGGCGCTGCCTGTGCACGTAGTTGCGAGCTTGCACGTAGTGTGGGCTTCGCCTGTATCTGTAGCATTTGCACTGCTGGAATTATGATCACGTTTTCAAGTTCAAATTTTGAAACTTTAAAAAACAAACTTTAGAACTCTAGGCACTTGCTTGAAAAATGAGGGGCTGTTTGCATACATATTGATAAGTTTTTAGAAATTTTTAATCATTTCATTTTGTCCTCATCTTTTATCTTGTAAGGAGTCCAGCGTTTCAACTTCAGAAAGTAACAAAGAGAACGCAGTCGATTATAAACTAACCAGAATGCTGCCTTTCTTTTTCAGGACTTAGATTAACGAAAACCTGGTCGTCAAACTAACTTTGACTGATCATAATTCTCGCAGTGTAAATGCTACAAAAAAGTTAGGGCATTTCTCTTTGCTGCTGCGAGTGGGATTTGTCTGAGGCGCCATCTATCCATTACCGATGGCGTAGCAAAGATCTCGTGTTTTTACTAACAGAAAAGTGAACAGTAATGAGTAAGGAGACCCCGACGCTATCACTGCCACTTCTGGTGCTGACGTCGGCAGACTCTCAGGTATCTCTCTCCCTTCCGTAACTGGTTGCCTGATTGCCTGCCATGTTCCTGCTCTATAGAGCTGAAGACTGCAGACACTTGTGTGGCCGATTTAGCTGGCGATTGTTTATTTGGCACCAGTGATTAGCGGGAATCGTCGATCAATCAATTACCAGCTTTCTCATGATCAGCACTCACTAGATGGCATATCTGTTGAAAAGCTGACAAGAACTTTCGTAGTAGCTTTTCAATCACAGTTTGTAGGCAAATCAGGTGGATTAAGAATATTTATTTTGAAATCTTGTTTCTAGAAACTCAGTTACGTGTTTTTGTAATACTGATTTGAGTTTCTTCACTAGACTGAACTCACCAGCTCTTGTCATCTGAAAAACTGTTTTGTTTTAAATCGATTAATTTTGTTCCTGAAGCCTTCGCGGCAAAAAGTTAAATCTGCTTTTTTATGAATAAAGGAAACGACATTTGTGAACGCCGCAAAAATAAAAAAATGTTCAAGCCAAATCTGCAACGTTTTCCTTCACTCTTCTCGCTGTTCTCATCTCGAGATCATCCGGAATCTGGTTCCAGACCTCGTCAAAATGTCTACCTCGAATCCTTCAAAGTTTTCCAGGTTCGCCGTCAAGATGAAAAAGAAACAAGAATTGTTGAAGAAAAATGTTTGCTCACTGATTGACGACATGTTTGAAACAATGCATAATGAATATGCCCGCATGTGTACTTCTGCATCTTTTTCAGAATCGCCTTCCGAGTCGGTTTCTACAACAAGAATCATCGAAAAGAAGGTTGTGGAGTCTGACCTGCATGACAACGCTGAGGGTACTCGTAAGCCCAAAAAGGCAAAATTTTCGTTTATTAACTTGAACCTCGAATCCATTAAACAAGGCTCGACAAACAAGCGAAAAAGCACAAGCAAAGTTATGACTTCTAAAACAGTGAAACGCTACAGAATTGAGAAAAAGAGCGAAACTTGCGAAACCGCCTCAACACGCGTTCGTACCTCTTCATCTTCTTCAAGTGTTGTGGCTTGCTCACCTACTACAACAACAAGTGATGTAATTCAAGAAGTGACGAGTCGTAGCTCAACAACAATTAAAGAGTCCAGTAAAGAAAGCCAAAAGAAACAGCGTCATACTACTGTTGACATGCCAACCAGCAGTGACTCTCGTCCTCAAGTCCAAATTGAAACTGGCATCAGCGAAAGTCTTTTCAACACTGAAATGGAAATCAACAATGCAATGCTGGGCGTCTTTTTCGATGGCAACTCAAAGTATTTCGTATGTGATATCCGGTATCAAAGCAATTACTACAAAATATACAACGTTCAAGCACGCCGACTTTACGTCAAAAAGCCCTTCAGTAGCTTCTCTGAATTTCAACATTTGTTCATCAAGCCCATCAAGTTTGATTCTTCCATTGCTGCGAACACGCGTGTTCTAGTAGCCTGGAGTCTGAGCGATACTGAATTAACTCCCGCTACAATCAAAGACGTGTACCTTGATCATGAACAAGTGGAGGTTCATAACAACAAAGGACACTGTGCCGTCATTTCTATCCATGATGTCTTCATTCTGCCCAACTACATGCCAATCATGTCTGATGCCTCAGATGTGTCAGACGCATCCATCTCAACGACTGAATCTGCTCAAAAAATTTTTCGAGAAAAACCAATAATGGACGAGTTTTACAACAAGTATGCCGATCAAAAGCAACTTTTTATTGATGAAAAAAATTATTTGGAAGGTCTTTGGCGATGGGCTGATCTGATCGAGAGCGGCTCTTTGATTGAACCGGATGATAACAAGTTGGTCAACGCAAACAGTTTTCGAAGTGTCTGCAAGAATAACCGAATCGTCTTTAACCTTGAAGACGATGTAGTGATTTGGATGGATTCAAACGATAAAGGGGCGTACAAATACCCCATCATTGGCATTATTAAGAGACTTTACGAAAATGTCACAACTAAGCAAAAGCGAGTTCAATTTAGCTGGTACTTGCATCCAGCTGAATATCCTGATTCCGGATTGAAGCCTCTAAACGTAAGTAACTTTTTTGATTATAAATACAGGAACTAACTAATGGCTTTTTCTCAGTATGGGCTTGTGGAAAGCTCAGAAACGTCTGTCGTTGATGTCGACTATCTACTATCTGATAGCAATATAAAAGTGATGCCGTTTAAAATGTTTCAGGACTCATTTCCAAACCACAACTTTATTGTGGAAGACGTCGAGAAATACCGTTTATCACTTTTGAACCAACCATTTCACACTTACTTCAAAACGGGCATATACTGCCATATCCGAAAAATCTACAAGTTGGATCCAAATCTGCCCAAGGATGAATTCTTTCTACCTGTTTATAAACAACGAACTGCTGCTGCCACCAAAAACTAGCACTTCTGTGTGCACTGTTGAGAATTTCATCTTTTAAATTTTCCTTTTTCCGGTGTTCACTTCATCACACACAAATACTCTTTTTGCTTTTATGAATTGACACCAAGGAATATGTTTCCCACTTAACAACTCAATTTCTAATTAACATTATCTACTGGATCACTTGCATTTACTGTAAAACCTGTCCATAAAAAATATATTCCGTTTCATTTGATGTCTTCTCATGAGGTGTACAGGTGTGTTGAAGGTGGACTGTAACGAAACGTAAAAGTCCAACTGCGAACCACTCACTCACAGTAAAGTGAGTAGCGAGTATTGCCCTGACTGTACTGGTTGTGCACACCTTCCTCACCTGACGACTTGACACTTTGTCGATTGATCTGTCTGCAGATACCCTCCGAATGATCATTCCTGCTACACTTTTCCCCTGGCT